AATTGACATTGGTACAATCTTGAGAGCTTATTCAGATCTCACCAGTTTTTTTTTTTCTTTTTTTTTTTTTTTTTGAGACAGAGTCTCACTCTGGTGCCAAGGTACTGTGAGCTGACACTGTGTCAGCTCACTGCAGCCTCCATCTCCTGGGTTCAAGCAATTCTCCTGCCTCAGCCTCCCGAGTAACTGCGATTACAGGTGCCCACCACCACGCCCGGCTAGTTTTTATACTTTTAGTAGAGATGGGGTTTCACCATGTTGGCCAGGCTGGTCTCGAACTCCTGACCTCAGGTGATCGACCCACCTTGGCCTCCCAAAGTGCTGCGATAACAGGCGTGAGCCACCGTGCCCAGCCAGGTTTCACCAGTTTCACATACATTCATGCATGGTGTGTGTGTGTGTGTGTGTGTGTGTGTGTTTCTATGCAATGTTATCATATCTTGTATCACCACCACAATAAAATACAGAGCTATCACCATGAGGCTTCCGTAAGCTACTCCTTTAGAATCATACTGATCTTCCTCTTCACCACATCCCTATTCCTGGCAACCACTAATCTCCCTTCTCTATAATTTCAAGAATGCTATATAAATTGAATCAAATGGTACCTTTTAGATTGACTTTTTTCCCCACTCACTATAATTCCCTTGAGATCTATTCAAGTTATTACATGTATCAATCGTTCCTTCCCTTTTCAGATAATATTTCAAGGCATATCGATATACCACAGTTTGCTTAACCATTCACCCATTGAACGGCATTTCAGTTGTCTCCAGTTTTGGGCTATTATGAATAAAGCTACTGCTATGAACATTCATTTGCAGGTTTTATATGAACATAAGTTTTCATTTTTCTGGGATAAATGCCCAGGAGTACATTTGCTGAGTCATATGGTAAGTGCATATTTAGTTTTTTAAGAAACTGCCGAACTATTTTCTAGTGTGGCTATTCCATTTTATATTCCATGTATACATGATAAAAGATGGATTTTTAATCTATTAAATAAACTTAGTATAAAGATACATTTCTCTTATTATACCATAATTGCTTGGTTACTTGAACTCCACCAGACTAAGTTTGAAGGTCAGGGATCCTGTTTTGTTCAGTGTGGTGTCTTTGGTGTCCAACATAGTACCTGACATATATTAGATTCAATAAATGTTTGTCAAATGAATGAATAGCTTAATAAACAAAAGAAGGACAGCTGACTCAGGTTGAGATCAAATTGAAAAATTGTAAATAAATTATAATGATAGTTGAATATGAATTGGATACCATGATTTTTCTTCTAGCATTTTCAAATCAGAAATTGGCACTCTATAAGATAAATCACTTGTGGGCAAGTTAATAAAAACTAAATGTTAAATTATGTTGTTCTAAGGTTAGTTTTGGCTGTACTTTGGTAACAGTAGAAGGTTGTAAACAATCTAAATGCCCAATGATATGGAACTGCTTTAGTAAGATATCCGTACAGTGGAATACCTACCCTGCGGTTGTCAAAAACAATGAGGAAACTCCATTTAAATAATGAACACCCTCTAAAGATATTGATTAAAAAATACAGAAAACCATGTAGAGTATGCTACTCTTTGTGTAAAAAAAATTAAAAAGGAAATTAAAGAAAAATAGATATACGCACGAAGATGTTAATTCTTCCTGTTATAAGATACAGGCTGTACCTGGGTCATGTTGTGCTTGAAAGTAAAGAGGTGCTCAAAAATGTATAGGGACATTCCAAAAGAACACAGGAGCCAGCTTGAATGGACTCCTTCTGGCTGAATTTGGGACAATTTAGGTTTTAAATGAATAATGACAGCAACAGAATATAACACATTGAATAAAAACTCACTAAAACAGAAAAAAGAATATGAGTCCGGGGTGATATGTAAAAATTAAATAAAGAATAAAAAGAGGGAGGAGAGGAAGGAAAGTTCTTTTCAGAAGAATGATAAAATTAAAATATCACCATTTTGCCATCACTGTAGCAATAATTGATTCAGACAAGGATCATCAGTGAATGCTAAACCCATTGGCTAAAAGTTTGCTGAGGAACAGATTGGTCTACAGTCTCAAAGTATCACTTCCACCATTGATATTTGCTTTTTCCAACATTTGCCAATTAATTACAATTATAAAAGGTAGCTTTATGACGGAGAAATATGGCAGACACCTTAATCAAGTGACCGTACTTACTGTATTAGTTTCCTGTTGCTACCATAAAAATTGCCACTAAATTAGGGACTTAAAGCTACGCAAATTTATTATCTTACAGTTCTGTAGTTCAGAAGCACAACATAAGTCTCATTGAGCTAAAATCAAGATATTGGCAGAGCTGCTTTCTGTCTGGAAGCCTATGGGAGAAAAGGAATTGCCTGCATTCCTTGGCTTGTGGTTCTCCTTCCTCCCTTTTCAAAGGCAGCAATGGCCAAATGAGTCTTTTGCACATCACATCACTCTGACCTGACGCCTCTGCCCTGCTCTTTCACTCATAAGAATGTTTGTGATGATTTGGGGCCCATCCAGGTAATCTAGGATAATCTCCTCCATCTCAAAATCTTAATCACATTTGCAAAGTTCCTTTTGCCATGTAAGGTGACATGTCAACATGTTCTGGGGATTAGCACAGTGACATCTCTGGGGTTGTGGGGTGAAGCGGACATGGTTCTGCCTACCACACTTACCCATTACAGGTAATGTGATACACTGGAATTATGTGCATTCTGATATAATGCACTGAGAAAGACACATCACTTAGGATAGCTGTCCCGCCAAAAGAAATATTTAAATTGGCAAACTTTCTGAAACTATTGTACTCCACTATTCAAAAAGGTCAATGATGTAAAAGAAAAAAGTTAGGGGAAACTGTTCCAGATTAAAGGAAGGAGACTACGGACATGTAACAACTAAATGCAAGGTATAATCCAAGAGTATATCCTAGATTAAAAGAAAAACTATAAACGAGATTATTAGGACAACTAGAAAATTTGATTATTGACCATATAATAAATGACAACGTGGAATTAAATTTCCTGAGATGATAATTAGATCGATTGCTCTTAGTAGATGCATAATAAAGTGTTTAGTATGTATGATAAAGTATCATGCTGTCTGCAGCTAACCTCAAATGGTTCTGAAAAAAATAGAGAAAGCAAATATGGAAAATATTAATAATTGATGAATCTAGAACAGTACTGTAAGACAGAAATATAATGTAAGCACATGTATAATTTTAAATATCCTAGTAGCTACATTAAAAAAGTAAAAAGAAAGCAAAATTAATTTTAATATTTTATTTAACCCAATATATCCAATTATTCTAATTTAAAAACGCAATTAAAGTAAAAAGTATTAACGCGATATTTTACATTTCTTTTTTTAAATACTAGTGCTTAAACGTGCAGTGTGGATCCAACATTTACAGAATATCTATTCATACTGGCTACATTTTAGTGCCTAATAGCCACAAGTTGCTGGAGCTGTAAATTGGAAGGCACTGGTCTAGATGAAGGGTATATGTGTGTTCATTGTACTACAGTTGCAACTTTCTGTTGGCTTGATATGTTTTAAAACCAAAAAGTTGGAGGAAAATGAACTAGATACGTGTTGTATGTGCATAGATCATTTCTGGGAGATATAGAAGCAGCTGGTAACACTGATTACTTCTAGGAAGAAGAAAGAAGTGAGTAGGAGGGTGGTTTTCACCATACCCTTTTGTACTTAGCGTAAAATATTGTGACTAAACCTATAAAAATTTAAACTAATATCTGCTTAATCTTTTTATTCAAAACCAGATACTCTAATGCTAAGGTCTAGCAACCCCTTAATTAAGAGGTAAGAGCTCCATCTACTGAACTTGATCTAAGATTCCTTGGGATAGGAAAGAAGTGTCCCACTTAAAATACAATGAAGTGTAGAAATTTCTTCTGATGATTTTTCTTATTATCTTAATAACCCCCTTAAATCTTCCTGTTCTCATATTATTACATATTTTCAGATAAAGTATATCAATGATTTAAACTTCATCTCTGATTTGCTGAAAAAAAAAAGAAACGAGATTCAAGCACAGGCTCACCTAATTTTGTGGTAATGGATGATGACTGCAACTCACAGTGGCGCCGGATGTTGTGAGAAAGTTCATTACAAATTTATGTCTTACTTAAGCCTCCTTCCATCTTGCAGCGGAGCGAAGTCTCTTGGGTTAGATTTCTTCAACTGTAACGGCTGGCACTTTCAAAGCTGAGTTACATCTTACTGCCCTCTGCATTTACTTTATGAGAGTTTCGGAATTAAGACTCTGCTGTAAGGTGTCTTGATTCCTTTGGTAATTGCATCATTTCCTGGCCTTGTCTAGTATATAATGCGGAGAAGTGAAGCAATTGCCCAGATGATAACAGTTTGGAAAGTAGGATAATAAACACAGCGGGTTTGAAGGATTTGCTTGGAACCTTGGGCAGACGTCCTGATCCTTCACTAGGCATACCACCCACAGCTCTCCCAGCCTCGTTAGCCTGCCTACACCAAATAAATAAAATAGAACCGCGTGCTATGAGGCTACGTGGCCCTTCATCACCCACATTTGTAGAGCACGCGCTCTGCACCCAGGACAGTGCCGGGTCGCTCCGGCTCTTCACCGAGAAACGTTCTCAGCCGGTGGCAGTCTATCGTCAGATTTAGTAAAATGTTTAGAGGGACTCAACAACCGCGTGACAGAGAACGAAGAAAGACGGAGAGGGACAGAAGTTAGATTTGAAAGAGAGGCTAAAATGGTTAATAAAATAATAAAGCAAATTACAAGGCTCTGGACAGTACGCGTCCAGACAATACTTGTCTTGGTAAAGAGATTTCCATGTTACGTAAAAGAATGAGAATTTCCAGGATGTCTTTTCCAGCATGGCAGTCGGAAGAGGATTAGATTTGGAGGGTGTAGGTGTTTTCCTTAAGGGGCCATCGGGGAGCTCGGCGGAAGGCGCCGAGAATTTGCTTCAATTTCAGGAAATAGACTCAGAGCAAGAACAAAGTAGGTGTGGCTTAGACGCAATACTGTACCTCCTACTGGTTAGAGGAACGAAATACAGATTTTTAAGGCAGCAAGTATGTTTCGAGACAGCTACCAAATAAGTTCCCTGGTGGTCTAGTGGTTAGGATTCGGCGCTCTCACCGCCGCGGCCCGGGTTCGATTCCCGGTCAGGGAAACGTTGTTTTCTTTGAATTTTGAATCCTGCAAGCAACGTAGAAGTCATGAGTTTTGTGTAGTTTTCATTTGCTGGTTGGGTTTTTTTTTTTAATCATAAGTTTTATGTACTTTTCATTTGCTTGTTGGGGTTTTTTCATCATTAAAAATTGACTGTTTTAAAATGTTATTTAATCTAAGGCTTAAAATACGCCATCTCTACAGGTAATGTAATTTATAATCAATCAAATAACATAAAGTTCTGTGATTCTAAAATTGTATTGTTCAGCTTTTAAAAATAATTTAGATGTTTACAAGCAGTCAGTTAAGCCTTTGTTTAACCTTGATTTTGGTTGACTAATAAAAGAGGAAAATAGTTTATGAGGAATAATACTTATTCAGTATCATCCTTAGAGTTAATTTTTAGTTTTTCTATACATTCAGATTATGTACTTTGGAGATTATTTGCCTATATTGGAGCTATTCCTACTCTCATCTTTATAAATATGAAATCTTGTCTGAGATGTATGGTTGGCTAATTATTACATAGCTAGTTTATAGTGTTCTAATAACCCATTTAGTTATTATTATTATTTTTTTTTGCTATTTTCAAATTTTCTGTAACAGATTTACACAAATATGGTAATTGTCTTCCATCCAGAGTATCAATTGCCAGTATATAAATCATATGGGCCCCTCAAAAATGCACCTACTTATCATGAGTAACTCCCACATTCAGGGTAAAGTAGAATTCTGGGAGTTCCTCAAAGGAAAATATGGAAATGTCGGAGTCAAAAAAAGAAAAATGGTGTTGTATAGACATTAACTTTTTTTGATCCTGAAAGTTCTAAACCATCCTAACCTTTGCCAGTTTTTGATCTGTTGGATTTTTTTTTTTTTTTTTGCCTTTTTTTTAAAGGAGAAATTTCATCATAGCATAGAAACAGACTGAAAGCTTGATTGCAACTAAAATGGATTTGTTTTGCTTTCCTTTTAGTTGTGCTGAGACTGATTGGGAAGAGGAGAATGCTGAGTACTTAATGTTCCAGGAAGTCCACTGTGATAGGTGTCATGGGGTTAAGAAAAGATGTGATTCTTGGTGCTTAAGAAGCTTTCACCTCATTCGACAATTAAGACAAAAATATGTTATTACCATTAACAAAAATAATTGGCACCATTCATTGATTATTTGCTATGTATCAGGTACTTCAAATAATCACAATATGCGGTTAAAGAAGGGAGAAGGAAGTGAACACTAGAATCAAAATAGAACTTTAAAACTGTTTTTCAAGCTGGAGCTAAAGGTTAGAAGTATCCGAAATGCCTGAGAAAAGGAGAATGGGCATTTCTTCTAAGGGATCCAGGATGACCACGGTCTAGTATCTGCAACGAAGAGGACAACTGCATCAGAATGGCTGTAGTAGGGAACCTGTGCTGGGGAACAGTGGAGATGAGGGCAGATAGGTGGCTGCAGCCAGATTATGGAGGATCTTAAGACAAGTCAAGGAATTACAAAGGGAACCCAAGAGGACTCGATGTCTGATAGGATATAAAGGATTAAGAATAGGGAGGAATCAGTTATGAAGCCGTGATTTGTTCTGTGTGGCTAGTAAAATTGGGGTGGCATTACAAGTAATAGGAAGGTTGAGATGGAGAAACTGATGAAGAAGAGAAGGCAAGTTCAGTCTGAGCCCTCACAGAGGCGGCACAGCTAAATGGTGGTCAAAAATACAGAATGGGAATTTTGGTGATAATTAGGATTGAAGGAAGTGATTTTGGAGCCATTAACTTAAAAGTTTGAGAAGATTTGGGCACTTCCCAAAGAAAAAACCTATGAAAAGGATAGAAGACCGAGGGAAAAAACCCAGGAGAGTATACAGTAAAGGAGAAAGGGAAGAGGTAGAAAATGGTGAAAGAGTAGTCAGAAAGACAATAAAAGGATAAGAGAACTTCAAGAAGGAAGTAGCCGTGAGAAGATAGCATACTATAAAGAGATGAAGGAGAAAATGGAGGAGATTAAGCACAGTCAGATGGTAAGACAGTGACCGTTGGGTACAGAACAGACTGGTGGAGCCCATACCACAGTAAGGAAGTCTGTCCAGGAGGTTATTGCCAGAAACATGATTCAAGGTGCTGAGGGACTAATGTGAGAGATAACAAACTTATTTATGACCTACATACTGCAGAAGGGCAAATATAGTGAAGAAACAGAGATCTTATGAAAACAAAGAAATACGGTTATTCCAGAGCCAGAGACTGTGAATTAACCCTAACTGTGCCAATATCAGCTGCATTATCTGGGTTAAGGACCCAGCTCTCTGAGCCTCTGGATCCTAATGAGTACAAGAGAGATACTAACCTGCATGCATCCATGCATACTTCACAGAGTTATTGTCATTCATTCATCAATTTAGCATACACTTATGTAATTCTTACTCCATGCCAGTCATCTTTGTATGCACAGGTATAGAAAAGTGAGCAAGACTGTTTCTATGACAGTTGAAAAGGAATCAAAGGAGAAAATCATTAAGGTTTTGATCATGGCCTATTAATTTAAAAAAGGGTGCTGTTTGAGACTGGGGACAATAGAGGAAGCCATGTTGCATTTAGATTTGGACTGAAGAGAGGTCACCCAAGTGAAGCTGTTACTAATGATGATAGATTTGAAGGAGATCCAGCTCTGCAGTGAGAATTGAAGCTTCAATAGTTGAAATGCTTGCCAAGAGATTGGTGCAGCAAAAAAAAAAAAAAAAAAAAAA